TAACTGAAATTTTACAGTCCGTTTAGAATTTTTTTTTACTTCTAACTTATAAAAACCATCTAAAAGTATTTTTATTATTATTAGAAGGTTTGATCATAAGATCAAAATTCCTTTTTGACTTTGTATATTTATCCTCAAACATCTTGGCATACCAGCATTATTGTTAGCATTAATTAGCATTTTATAAAATTTAACAAAATTATTATTTTAGTGAAACTTCTTTACGCGCCTTGGGAGTAAAAATTCAAGGTTGTAACACACGAGCTAGCGTCAGAAAAAGAGGTAACAGCAGTGTTGCCACAGCTACCTCATTCGGGGTAGATCTGACCTTTTGAAAAACATTCTTTTTCATTATGTTGATGCTGTCTAAGAATTCTATAATTTTATTAATTTTATAAATGTTAAAAGGCACGAAAATATTCTCATAGGTAACAGAATTAAAGAAAATAGATCTATGGGAGGCAACAGGCAAGCATTCAACAAAAATATGTTTTATTGACATAAGCTATTACATAAGGTGCATTTCCGAGGGGGGTTATTTCTGAGAATATAGGATTTAGTAAGATATAAGTGTCCTGTGACAGTTCTTACAGCTTTACAGAAAAGTCCAAGTTGTAATCCATATAATTGTGTCCATACGTAATCTAAGTTTATTAGTTCTCTCGAGGATGGTCCCATTCATTCCATATGTATTCTGAATATAAGTATACAGAGAAACACGTTTTTGTAAAAATTTCTGAAATCCACAACAGGTGGAGTTTCAACATTCTGTAAGAGAGTTGCTTTGTTAGTTAGTTTATCTGCTAAAGTCATTAACAGCAGTGCCAGAGAGTCCAGAGATCCCACATAAAGTTAATAGTGTAATTTATTTTAATAAGTTCATACACAAGACCTCAAATGTTGCGGGTTAGGGAATTTTTACACCCTAGATATTTGTTAACAATTAATGAATCATTGAAAGTTGCTCTCAACTTCATTGCTACATTTGACTAAAATATGTCATTTGCAAAATTAACTACAACTGCAAACTAAATTTACATAATTTTATTTATGTTTTATTTTGACATTGTGGCCAAAAATACAAAAAGATTTGGAATTTCGTACAAATTAAAGAGCTGTTTTTCTGTTGAATTCTAAGCTAGAATTTAAAAAGTAGCTTTTCCTGTCATTTCGATCGATCTTTCAGTGGCGAAATAGCCATTTTTTTTCTGTAGTAATAATCTGAACGTTACGCATCTAGTTTTTCTTTTACTCTGCTCTTCGCAGTCAATCATACTAGCACTAATAAAAGTTCCGATGCAATTGAATCCCATCCGAGTCAAGCCGAACACGGCTAAATTGCAAATCGGTTTGGACGGGGGCAGTTTTTCAGCCCCGCGGCCACGTCCGTTCCAGATTCTAGCTAACGCGAGCGGCGGGCGGAAAACGTCGTCACTCCCGGCAGCAGCGGCACTACATTAATCCCCAAAGGGCGACGATTATTTGCTCAGTGGCGTAGAACGCCGCTGGACGCGGGGCGACCCGTTACGGGGTTGATCGAAAATAGATTTATCGATGCTCTTTCACCACATTTGGTCGATGTCATAGTGTGCTCTGGTGGTGGTTGTTATGTGTTGGGCGATCGATAGGCCGACAACGTGCATACGTGGCGAGGCCGGCTGTCTCTCTCTCCAATTTCCATTCATCTTTTTGTTTGGGCCGCCGACGACAACTAGTGCAGGCCGACGCCGCTTCGCTATCTAGTTTCCGGACTTGAACGGGCTTAATATCTGAGGAAATGCGAAAAGTTTTGTTCGGTAGTTGTTTAGGCTTTGATGTGTTTAACTGGCACTGTTTCTTTTTGAGAGAAAAATTGTTACTGGTATATTATAGTCTATTTAGAAATTGTAAATTGTAGTTTACTATAACCGTCTAAAACTACTATATTTCCTAACCATTTTTATCGGTTATCAGATCGGTTACCTGCATGACGTCAACCCAGATATGGTTTTAAATAACATTAAAAATTAAACAATTAAAATCCAACAATCTCGGGTCGATAATTAAACGCAGGTTATCGAAGTTCGATTTCCTCATGGTCATAGCTGGGTGAATGTAATTAAATGGAAAACTATTGAACTACGTAACCAGCCATGACCACGAGGGATAGGAAATATAAAAAGCCCAGTGAACATTTTATTCCTTTAAGGGAAATATGTTCTAGGTGACGTTGTTACGTTACCAGACCCCTCTTGTGCCTTATATGAAGCAATAAACCGGCAATTATTGACAAAACTTTGCTCACTGGGAGACTATGCTGAAGAGAGCAGGGGTCCAGTTAGTTGCATAGTTAGTTACATTGCAGTTGACAGTCAGCTAATTAGTAGCTAGTTAATCGGTAGTTAGTATAGTCGTTTATTTCCGTACCAAACCAGATATTTCAGTTTATTTTATTGCAATCTTAGTCAGGGACACCGTATATATTATGATATAGTAATTTTTTTATTCAATCCAGATATGTTCTTTTGTACTGCGTTCTTATAATTAGTATTATTAATATAAAATTAGTACTAAGCAATTGTTTTTATTTTCAGGTAAGTCGAATGATGAGCCATGTTTTCCATCAACTTAAATTGACTAGTAAGTAATGATTAAGTATTTATTGCTTCTATTTAACAAACATCAATAAAAGTAAATTACTAAAATTCATGCATATTGTAATAAACATATATTATTTGGGAATTCCATTAAGTTCTTCTAAAAATACCAAAACTAAATAAACTTTTAATTCGATAAAAAATTAGATAAAATGTTAAGCATCGTAAGACAATTTGATATGTCATATTGACAAACAGATTGATCTATTTTAGATATATTTTTATTTTTATTTTTATTTTTATTGTCTTGTGAAAGTCGAAAATAAGTTAATAATCGTTAATAAGTCCTTGAAATATGTATTGACAAATTGGTAGATGTATAACAAATATAAAAAGTATACCTTACTTTTCTTCTTTTAATATAAATACGAAATAGAGTTTATTAGTTATTCAATATTTATTATTCAAAAGGGGTATAACAATATATAACACTAGCGTGTACCAGCGTAGGTTAAGAAATTGCCCAACTTTTTGGAACACCCTGTATGATTTTAAAAAAAATCAAAATAAAAAGAGAACAAATAAATTATGCTTGTCCAAGCATTTTCCCGAAGGACTAACCGTTTTTTAAATAACAAATATTGTAATATTTGAGGGGCGTTTTCACCCTGTTGGAATTTGAGATTCGAGAAACCCCTCCTTATCAAAAATCAGCTTTAAACGTCAAGCAGTTTAAGCAGAATCGTGATTACTCAATGGTCATATTTTATGAAACAACCTGTATAAATTTATAAAAAATCTTAAAATATGTAAACAACAAAATAAAATATACGTGTTTAAGAGTTTTTCCGAAAAACTCACCGGTTTTTAAATAAAAAATATTTTAATATTAGAGGGATAGTTTTACCCCCTTAGAATTCGAGTTTCGAAAAATCCCTTCTTATCGAACCTCTACACCTTAATGTCAATCTGTTTTCCAAAAATCAGCTTTTTACGTCAAGCGCTTTAAGCAGGATAATGATTAATCAATGACCAGATTTTTCGAAACATCCTGTATACATTTTTAAAAAATCTTAAAATATGTAAAAAACAAAATAAAATATACGCGTTTAAGCGTTTTTTCGGAAACTTGGCCGTTTTTTAAATAAAAAATATTGTAATATTTGAGGGGTGGTTTCACCCTCTTAGAACTGGAATTTCGAAAAATCTCTTCTTATCGAACCTCTGCACCCTAGAATCAACCTGTATGCCAAAATTGAGCTTCTTACGTTGAGTGGTTTGAGTAGGATCGTGGTTAATCAGTATGTCAGTCACTTAAGGATTTTATATATTAGTATAGATTACTTAAAAAAATTGAAATTTTATTAGTTTAAAATGCGGAATGGATATACATAAATATATACAAATTTAAAACATCCTTTCCAACACGGATCTATAAAATAAATTCCCTTGTTTTGCAGTGAAATTCTCGGACGCCAGATGTGCTCTAGATTTCGATGCGGTGGTGGGGAACATGTTGCTGTTCTCAACTGCCATCTTCCAAACAGCAATAACTTGCTTTTGATCTTTTTCAAAAATATCTCTTCTTGCCTTTATTGGTACGATAAATTGACTTATTGTAAGCGATTTTTTCAAATTGAAATAATAACGAAAGTCTTAAGTTTTACTTAATGGGGAAATATGTTTTGGTTAAAGAAATGCGAATCATAATTTTTAATATTGTGGAAATAATACTGCTGCATTCATTCTTAATTTAGCTTTAGTTCTATATTTTTACGTTAGAATATTTTTATAAAAAATATTTTTTTTAATTAATTAATAACCGTTAAAACTTTTAATATGCTATAAATACAAAAAAATATGAATTTTTTAATTCTCTATCATGAAATAATATACAGCAGTGGGACTCCGTGTTATATAGAAATCTATAATAGTATTCTATTATCCCTTTCTATCGGAGGACGGCGATAGTAGAGTTTATTGGCACTCTGTGCCGATATCGTTTTCGTTCGGCTGTTTTCGCGTATTTTTCGCTAGCGATACTATTAATCCTACAAACATTAGCAAATGAAGCGCCTGATACAAATTTTGGTGTTATTTTCGTCTTTGTTTATCGCACATTTAGATAATGTGGAAACATACTCCGGCGTGTAAACAGAGAACGCATAGAACGTTTGTTTACATGATAGATAACCTAACCAAAAATTAGTTTAAATATTAAAACATCTTCAGTAAAAAAAATTAAGAATCTTTATTATATCATTTTGATTAGCAAAATGAGGGTAAGGGCCGAACATTGGAACTTACTGTTAAACGTTTGCGAGAACAATCCGGAATTAATAACAAATAAATTTAATGGAACTGAAGGAATGCAATGCCTTATGGCAAAGTGTTTCGGTACAATTGAATAGTTTAGGATATAGTGAAAAAACCGTGGATGGTTGGCGAAAAGTAAGTAAGTATGTTATTATCCCGTCACAGACCTTTATTAATCTGGAAATAAGTTATAAATTAAGTGGTAAGAGTAATATTACAAACATATTTATTTTCAGACGCTTACTGATTTACTGATTGGAAATGCAAAACAAAATCAAAGGCTTCTGCCATAAAAATGGAGCAGCAACGAACTGGTGGTGGCCCCCCTCAGGTTCCTCCATTAACAACATTAGAGAAAAGAATTTTAAAAATTATGGGGAATAAGGCAATTTATGGTGACGAGATAGTGCCCGAGTTAGGATTTGGAAAAGTAAGTGCTACTTTATGTTAGTTGAAAAAAGTCACAAGGGCATTTACATTATCATGTTCTTTAATTGGTTTGTTAATTAAAAAATTAATATAATTTTTTTAATAGGTTGAAATTCTCAAAAATATGGAGACTGATGCACCATCCACCAGTGCCACACGAACTCCCAGTACCCCATTAAATGTTGAGATTAATGCAGCATCCACCAGTGCCTCACTAACACCCAGTGTAAAAAGAAAGTTAGAGTACAAAAGCACTCATTCAGAAAGGTGCTATTCAGGCGAGCTCAATCGGCGACAGTTGAAATATTTGAAGGCCGTTCATGTTTATTATGTATTTATTTCATAATTATTACCATATTATATATATTTTTTAAACAAAATATTGTTTATTTGGTACAGAAACAAATTATAATCTCTTAGCCTTTCCTCTTCTCCTGCTGCCATGATATTTATTATGTTAATTGGCAACATATTTAAATAACTGTCACACAAAATAGAGTTGTCAACAACTCAAAAACATAAACAACAACAAACAAAATCTTAGATTAGCAAATTCCTCTGAGACAAAATAGATAACTTAATCTAATAACATTAAAAATGTCAAATATATTCTCAATACGCTTGCGGTATGTAGAATTCGATACCAATTGAAATGTAGAAATCAAGCGACCAAAATAATCGCATCTTATCGATATCGTTGCTGCACGGAGTGCCGATCCTATAGAATTCTGACGATATGTAGAATTCTACATGACACAGAGTCCCACTGCAGGGTCGCTTTTATGTATGGAAACGGTCGATTATTAGGTAAAATATAGGAGCTACCGTAAAAAGTTAAATATAAAAGTTATAGGATTTTTAAATACCTATTAGCGAGTAAAATTTAAATATACAGAGTCGTTCATAAAATAGTGGCACATCAAAGTTTATCTTTTTTAAATAGAACCCCCTGTATATTATTACATATTTCAATTGTTCCTTCAATTCTAAGCAAAAATCGAAATACACACAATGTACCTCAAAGCAACCGTTTCCGACTTTTTAAGTGATATTTTCAAAAGTCAAAATGATGCCATTCTGCCAAAACTGTGATACTGTTCTAATGGGGTTTTAAAGTCCTATTAGCTACTAGTAAATTTAAATATACTAAATTTTGTTGGAATTTTGTTGGAAATATATTAAATTTCCAGACTTGCTATACCATCATTTTATACATCTATAAATGCTAACTTGAGAACTAATGTCCAATATTATTAGGTATTAGAGTTTCGCCAAAATGACATCGTTAAATGAAATAGAACATATTGAAATTAATTAAATAAAATTATTTAAGTGATATATTTAAAAGTCCATAACTCGGAAACGGTTGGTATGAGATACATTGTGTGTATTTCGATTTTTGCTTGGAATTGAAGGAAGAACCGAAATATGCCATAATATACAGGGGGTTCCTTTTAAAAAATGAAACTTTGATGTGCCACGACTTTATGATCGACCCTGTATATTTAAATTTATTACCCGCTAATAGATAGTTATAAACCCTATAACTCTTATATTTAACTTTTTGCGGTACTTCCTATATTTTACCTAATAATCGACCATACTAATTTTACTAATAATTCCATACATAAAAGCGACCCTGTATAAGGTACTATATTTAAAGAAAAAACAAGAAAAACTATTTTATATTTTTAAAAGTTCGGCGTAGAATTTTGAAAACCTTGTACGGTTTAAGATTACGATATTTATAGGAAAATATGTACAGACCAACTATAGTAAATACCTAATATAGTTTTGATTTCGGGACATTTCTTGTATTTCTAATATTTTTTTTAAGAGAGATATTTTTTAATTTATTTATTAATATCACTGAAACTGTCAATATATATTTAATAATATTTTATGTAACGACTATGTAAAGTGACCAGAAAAAAAGCCAAAAATGCAATAAGATACAAGGTGTTCCATTTATATTTTTTTAGAAGTTAAAATAATTTTGTAAAATACATCCTAGTGCAGTTACGTTTGCACTTATACAAAATTCCCAAGTTTTTTTTATTCTAAGAGCTACTGACGCACTATTGTCAGACCCTGTATGTTATTAAATGATTGAAAATTAAATCATGAATAATTTCGTAAGCGTATCTATCTAAAGTGTGTTTAGAATCGATAATAATTAAAATATTAACGATATTTTTGGAGTCTTAGGCCTTAGAGGGCTATAAAATTACTTAAAACAACAGGTTTTTTTAGCTAGACAATTTTGAGATAGGGTTTATTTGAATTTTGTTTACATCGTCTCTTAATCAAGTCATGTATTAATTAAAAGGACAGATAATTTGAATTTTAAGTGTTTTTTTGGAACGATATTTAGAAAACATTAAAAATGTATTTAATCTCAGATGGTTTGATCATGATGTTGTTTGTTTTCTACTAAAGTATGACAGTAACATATTAGAAATGATTTTTTCGGAGATTCCTACTGAATAGAATGTCAACAATATATTTAACATAGAACTATATTTGTATTTAATTAAAAGTATATCTTACTTTTTTTCTTTTAATATAAATATAAAATATAGTTTATTAGTTATTCAATATTTACTATTCAAAAGGGGTATAACAATATATAACATTACTTACAAAAATTGAATATTTTTTAGTTTAAAATGCGGAATCGATATACATAAATATATAAAAATTTAAAACATCCTTTCCAACACGGACCTATAAAATAAATTCCCTAGTTTTGCAGTGAAATTCTCGTAATTTCTTGGACGCCAGATGTGCTCTAGATTTCGATGCGGCGCGGCGGGGAACATGTTGCTATTTTCAACTCCCATCTTCCAAACAGCAATAACTTGCTTTTGATCTTTTTCAAAAACATCTCTTGTTGCCTTTATTGGTACGATAAATTGACTTTTTGTAAGCGATTTTTTCAAATTGAAATAATAACGACAGTCTTAAGTTTTACTTAATGGGGAAATCTGTTTTGGCTAAAGAAATGCGAATCATAATTTTTAATATTGTAGAAATAATAGTGCTGCATTCATTCTTAATTTAGCTTTAGTTCTATATTTTTACGTTAGAATATTTTTATAAAAAATCATTTTTTTTAATTAACTAATAACTGCTAAAACTTTTAATATACTTTAAATACAAAAATATTAATTTTTTAATTCTCTATCATGAAAAAATATACAGGGTCGCTTTTATGTATGGAAACGGTCGATTATTAGGTAAAATATAGGAGGTACCGTAAAAAGTTAAATATAAAAGTTAGAGAGGATTTTTAAATATCTATTAGCGAGTAATAAAATTTAAGTATACAGGGTCGTTCATAAAGGCGTGGCACATCAAAGTTTATTTTTTTAAATAGAACCTCCTGTATATTATTACATATTTCAATTGTTCCTTCAATTCTAAGCAAAAATCGAAATACACACAATGTTCAAAGCAACCGTTTCCGAGTTATTGACTTTTCAAAATATCACTTAAACAATTTTAAGGATTTAATTAATTTCGATGTCTTTGGTTTAATTTAATGATGCCATTCTGCCAAAACTGTGACTTGTAGACTTGTGACAGGGTGCATGAAGGCTGCTCCGCTGGATAAACTGTACCAAGCAGCTGGTTTTCACAGTCCTAACTTACGTAGGGAGGCACATGAATTCAGCGAGAAGTTTAAAAAAACGTTCGACAATCGTCATCCACTTTTCGGGAAATACCAAGAATCTAAAAGACTAAAATCCAGACGACGATTTCTCAGCAGCCCCCTGGATGAACCACCCACAAACTATCCTCTGTCAGAAAGCCTGCCGAGTGGTGCCTCGTTCAACTTTAAAACCTGGAGAATGTTGAACCGCATAAGAACAGGAGTTGCTTCGGTAAAACCCAATCTGATCAGATGGGGCCTTCCGCAACCAAATGACGACAAATGCGACTGTGGGATGATACAAGATATGGAACACCTTCTAAAGTGCGTTAATTGTCCTGCACATTGTAACTCCGACGATTTATGGCAAAGCAAACCCGAAGCATTGGACGTGGCTCAATATTGGGCCGAGAAAATATAGAATGTTCCGGACACGAGAAAGTAAAGTAAGTACTGTTGTAATGGGGTTTTAAAGTCCTATTAGCTGTTAGTAAATTTAAATATACTAAATTTAGTAATTTCCAGATTTGCTATACTTTCATTTTATACATCTATAAATGCTAACTTGAGAAGTACTATCCAATATTATTAGGTATTACAGTTTCGGCAAAATGACATCGTTAAATGAAACTGAACATATCGAAATTAGTTAAATCAAATTATTTAAGTTTTTAAATTTTTATAAGCCAATAACTCGGAAACTGTTGGTATGAGATACATTGTGTGTATTTCGATTTTTGCTTGGAATTGAAGGAAGAACCAAAATATGCAATAATATACAGGGGGTTCCTTTTAAAAAAATAAAACTTTGATATGCCACGACTTTATGGCCGACCCTGTGTACTTAAATTTATTACCCGCTAATAGATATTTATAAACCCTATAACTTTTATATTTAACTTTTTGCGGTACTTCCTAAATTTTACCTAATAATCGACAGTTTCCATACATAAAAGCGACCCTGTATAAGGTACTATATTTAAAGTAAAAACAAGAAAAACTATTTTATATTTTAAAAAGTTCGGCGTAGAATTTTGAACACCCTGTACGGCTTAAGATTACGATATTTATAGGAAAATATGTACAGACCAACTATAGTAAATACCTAATATAGTTTTGATTTCGGGACATTTCTTGTATTTCTAATATTTTTTTTAAGAGAGATTTTTTTTTAATTTATATATTAATAACACTGAAACTATCAATATATATTTAATAATATTTAGGACTATGTAAAGTGACCAGAAAAAAAGCCAAAAATGCAATAAAATACAAGGTGTTCCATTTAATTTTTTTTAGAAGTTAAAATAATTTTCTGAAATACATCCTAGTGCATATTTTACGTTAGCACTTAAACAAAATTCCCAAGTTATTTTATTCTAGGAGCTACAGATGACTGACGCACTATTGCTGGACCCTGTATGCTATTAAATTATTGAAAATTAAGTCATGAATAATTTCTTAAGCGTATCTCTCTAAAGTGTGTTTAGAATCGATAATAATTAAAATGTTAACGATATTTTTGGAGTCTTAGGCCTGAGAGGGCTATAAAATTACTTAAAACAACAGGTTTTTTTAGCTATACAATTTTGAGATAGGGTTAATTTGAATTTTGTTTACATCGTCTCCTAATCAAGTCGTGTTTTAATTAAAAGGACAGATAATTTGAATTTTAAGTGTTTTTTTTTGTA